TCCCTCCTCCTTGCCCCTCGCTCCTCCCTCCTTCTCTCCCTCTCGCTCCGTGGTGCGTTAGTGCTGTGATGTGCGGTGCTGTACGGTGCCGTTAAGCGTGGCAACCAAGACTTGGTTTGGTGTTGCACCGTACCGATGCAGATGTAAGTAAGACCAGTGCGCGCGCGTTACAGTGGAGACCCATGCCAAGAAACACCCTGCTTGCCTCCAGGGTGCCCTGGGTTTCTTGGGTTTCGATGGTTTTGCTATGGAAAGCGTGATGTTCCCACATCAAAAATCAGTGGACGTTTTGGGGTCTCAGGGTTGGGTTTCTTGTGAAAGGTTTTCTTGTGGACTGGCCTCCACTGTACACAATGTGCGGCCGCGAGCGCGGTACACCGTCAGCGCAACCTCTTGGCAAAAGCAACGCGACTGAAGGCAGCACGAGCGTCCTTGATCGAAAGCCACCTCTATCCCTCCTCCTTTCCTCTTCTCCCCTCTTCTGCTCCCTCCTCCCCTCTGTCTTCCTGCATCATCGTCCCCTCCTCCTGTTCCTCCTGCCGCTCCTCGTCGTCACCCTCATCCTCCTCCCCATCGTCCCCCTTCCATCCTCGTTCCGTCCCTCAGCGGCTTGGACCGTGCACGTCTGTGCAGGAAATCGTGCACAGGACAAATGAAAAAGTGTAGGACTGTCTACGAAAATCGGCGTTGCTCCGCTGGAGGCGCCCCACTCACAGCTTCACCCGAAAGTGGAAGAGAAGTGGAGGAGGGACCTGTGGCTCAGGCCAGCTTAAAAAGCTTCCCTCCCCTCCTCCCCCCGCTGACATCCGGTACCCCAGTTCCCCCAAACAGCTCGCTGAACGGGGGTGATTTTGTGATAGAAGCTAGTTCCAACCGAGGGACGGGCGAGCAGAGACATCCTTAACAAAGATTTTGTCAAAAATTGAGTGGTCCAGCCCCTTTCGCATGAGACATCCTCGCAACTCTGGTCTCCGAGATGTCGCGCGCGGGATTGTCCGGCGCGTTTCGCCTGAGACATCCTCACAACTCTGGGTTCCAAGAAGCCGCGCGAGAGGTGGTCTGGCGCGTTTCGCCTGAAACATCCTCGCAACTCTGAGCTCCGAGCTGCCGCGCGCAAGGTGGCCCAGATCGTCTCGCCTGAAACATCCTCGCAACTCTGAGCTCCGAGCTACCGCGCGCGGGGTGGTCCGGCACGTGTCGCCTGAGACATCGTCGCAACTCTGGGCTCCGAGATGCCGCGCGAGAGGTGCTCCGGCCCGTTTCGCTTCAGACATCCGCACACCTCTGGGCTCTGAGAAGACGTGCGCGAGGTGGCCCAGCGCGTTTTCCGCCCGAGACGTCCCGCAACTCCGGGCTCCGACGTGCTGCTTGCGAGGCAGTCCGGCGCGTTTCGCTGGAGGCATCCTCGAATCTCTGGGCTCCGAAAGGGAGGAGGGAGGAGGGGTAAACCCAAACGAGCCTTTTGATTCCACCTCTGGTGTCGGATGGTGCTCCGAGGGAGGGGTCGGGGCCTGGGCGCCGCCCGGTCCGTCCTCGCATGCCGCCCGAGAGGCGGTCCAGCGCGTTGCGCCCGAGGCATCCTCGCATCTCTCGGCTCCGAGACGCCACAAGACAAGCGAGGCGATCTGGCCCGTTCCACCGCAGACATCCTCGCAACTCTGGGCTCCGAGACGCCGCGCGCGAGTCGGTCCAGCGCGTTACGCCTGCGTCATACTCGCAGTTCTGGGCTGCGACGTGCTGCTTGTGAGGTGGTCTGGCGCGCTTCGCCTGAGACATCCTCGAAACTCTGGGCTCCGAGAGGGAGGAGGGAGGAGGGAGGAGGGGTCAGACCCAAACAAACCATTTGATTACACTTCTTTTGTCGGAGTGTGCTCTGGGAGGGGTTCTGGGCGCCGCCTGGATCCATCCTCGCAACTGTGAGCTCCCAGATGTCGCGCGCGAGGTGGTCGAGCCCGTTTCGTCTGAGACATCCTCGCAACCATGGGCTCCAAGACGCTCCGCGCGAGATGGTCCAGCCCCTTTTGCTTAGGGCATCCTCACGTTTGGGCTCCGAGATGCCGCGCGCCAGATGGTCTGGCGCGCTTCGCCTGAGGCATCCTCGCGACTCTGGCCTTTGTGATGCCGCGCGGGAAGTGGTCTGGGCCGTTCTGCCTGAAGCACCATCGCAAAGCTGGGCTCCGAGATGCTGCGCGCGAGGTGGTCTGGCCTGCTTCGCCGCAGACGTCCTCGCGACTCTGAGCTCCAAGATGCTGCGCGAGAGGTGACTCGCAACTCGGAGCTCCGAGATGCGACGCGAGAGTTGGTCGGGCTTTTGTTCGCCGCAGGCATCCTTGCAAGTCTGGGCTCCGAGAAAAGGTGCCCGAACCTCTGGGCTCCGAGAGGGAGGGGAAGGAGGGAGGAGTGGTCAGACCCAAACGAACCATGGGAGGAGGGAGGAGGGAGGAGTGGAGGAGGGAGGAGGGAGGAGGGAGGGAGTGAGGAGGGAGGAGGGAGGAGGGAGGAGGGAGGAGGGAGGAGGGAGGGAGGGAGGAGGGAGGAGGGAGGAGGGAGGAGGGAGGAGTGATTACACTGCTTTTGTCGACTTGTGCTTGGAGGGGGTTACCTGGGCGCCCCTGGCCCGACGGAGGAGGTAGCTAGCCGCTGACGCGCTGACGCGCGATTCCGCGGCAGATTCCGAGGGTTCCTCGGGGGGGGGCCATGCTCGAGCAGAGCGTGGAGATGCCTCGAGCGAGGGCGCGGTGAGCAGGCAGGAGGCAGGACGGGGCAGGAGAGAGGCAGGAGGAAGCAGGAACATCGGACGGTAGATTTTCCGCGGTAGATTCCGAGGGTTCCTCGGGGGGGCCGTGCTCGAGCAGATCGCGGAGGTGCCTCGAGCGAGGGCGCGGTGAGCAGGGAGTAGGCAGGACGGGGCAGGAGAGAGGCAGGAGGGAGCAAGAATGTCTTCCGAGGGTTCCTCGGGGGGGCCATGCTCGAGCAAGTCGTGGAGACGCCTCGAGCGAGAGCGCGGTGAGCAGGGAGGAGGCAGGACGGGGCAGGAGAGAGGCAGGAGGAGGCAGGAACATCGGACGAGGGAGGTGGGACCTCAGGCTCGAACTGTTGGTTGGAGGGCATCCCTGGCACGGCGGAGGAAGCGGACACGAGGGAGGGACGAGGAGGGGAAGGAGGAGGAGGAAAATGACGCGGAGGACGAGGGGGAGGGGGAGGAGGAGGAGGAGGAGGAGGAGGAGGAGGAGGAGGAGGAGGAGGAGGAGGAAGATGAGGATGAGGAGGACCTGGAGCAGGAGGAGGCAGAGGAGCACTGCGAGGAGGAGGAGGGCGCAGAACACAAGGAGGATTTCGAGGAATACAAGGAGGAGCACGGCGCGCAGGAGGAGGAGCAGAAGGATGAAACAGAGAAGGAGGAGTGAGGTAAGGAGGTAGAGGATGATGCTGATGAAGAAGAAGAATATGATGATGCTGGTGATGATGATGATGATGATGATGACGACGACAATGATGACGATGATGACGGTGATGACGATGATGTTGATGATGGTGGTGATGATGATGGTGATGGTGATGGTGATGGTGATGGTGATGGTGATGATGGTGATGGTGATGGTGATGGTGATGGTGATGACGATTGTGATGGTGATGATGGTGATGATGAGGAGGAGAATGAGGATGAGGATCCGGATGATGAAGATGATGATGAGGATGATGGTGCTGTTGATGATAATGATAATGTTGATGTTGATGATGATGATGCTGGTGATGGTGATGGTGATGGTGGTGGTGGCGGTGGTGGTGATGGTGATGATGATGATGATGTTGATGAGGATGATGGTGATAATGATGATATAACGATGATGATGATGATGATGATGATGATGATGCTAATGATAATGATGATGATGATGATGATGATGATGATGATGATGACGATGATGATGATGATGATGATGATGCTGATGATGATGATGATGATGGTTGTGGTGATGGTGATGATGATGATGATGGTGGTGATGATGACGATGCTGATGATGCTGATGCTGATGATGATGATGCTGACAAGGTGGAGGAGGAGGAGGAGGAGAAGGAGGAGGAGAAGGAGGAGGAGGAGGAGGAGGGGGGAAACGTCGAGGAGCAAACACACCAGGAGGATGAGGAGGAGTCGCATGAGTAGGGGGACGAAGTAGGAGTGAGATGAGGAGGTATAGCAGGAGGAGGAGGACGAGGAGGAGGAGGAGGGTGCGGAGGACCAGGAGTATCAGGATGACGAGGATGAGGAGGAGGACGAGGAGGAATAAGAGCGGGAGGAAGAGAGGAGGGGGATGAGGAGGAGGTGTGGAAGGGGGAAGGGCGAGGGCGAGAAGGATAATGACGTGGATGCGGAGGAGGAGGAGGAGGCGGAGGACGACGACGACGACGATGACGATGACGAAAAGTTCGACGTCGACGCCGAAGGCGCAGGCGGAGGACGCGCGAACGCTCTGAGGAGCCACCTTGGCTCAAACAATGTTGATTGGGGATATTGGATTCTGGCTATAATTTCCGATGCTTGGATCCCTGGAGGTTTGGACAAGTTCACAAGTTCCCTACAGGGCCAGCTTCCATGCTGAGTATTTGTTGTTACGATTCCGGGACCCGTAGACCGAACACCGCCCCAAACCAACCGCATCCATTTTTGTCGGCGCCTTGGATATTTGGGCCCGCCCCCCTCTCCTCCTCCTCCCCTCCTCCTCCTCCTCCTCCTCCTCCTCCTCCTCCTCCTCCTCCTCCTCCTCCTCCTCCTCCTCCTCCTCCTCCTCCTCCTCCTCCTCCTCGGTCGGTCGGGTCGTAAGGCATGAGGTTCGTAGCCTATGCGCGGTCGGTCTCCTCGTCCTCCTCCTCCTCCTCCTCCTCCACCTCCTCCTCCTCCTCCTCCTCCTCCTCCTCCTCCTCCTCCTCCTCCTCCTCCTCCTTCTCCTCCTCCTCCGCCTCCTCCTCCTCCTCATCCCCCGCCCCTTCCCCCGCCCTCTGCTCACAGCCGTTCGGCTCAGGGACGAAGCCCGGGCACTGTCGCCTCGCCTCGGCCGTCAACGCATCAACGTGCTCGGACAACGGAAGCGGGAGTGGCGCTGCTGGCGATGGAGTCGCCGAGGAGCCCCGCCGCGTCGCGCCGCCGCTCGGACCGGGCGGCGCCGCCCCGCGGGTTCGCCGCCAGCAGGGCCGACTCGTGCCCGCCTGGCGCCGAGGCCGTGCGGCGCCGTCGTCGCGCGTTCGTCGCTGCCGCCTGCACCCGTTGTGCCTCCTCCGTCGACCGTCGTCTCCGCCTCCTCCTCCTCCTCATCCTCCTCCTCCTCCTCCTCCTCCTCCTCTTCCTCCTCCTCCTCCTCCTTCTCCTCCTCCGCCTCCTCCTCCTTCTTCTCCTCCTCCTCCTCCTCCTCCTGCTGCTGCTGCTCTTCCTGCTCCTCCGCCTCCTCCTCCTCCTCCTGCTCCTCGTCCTCCTCCTCCTCCTCCTTCTTCTCCTCCTCCTCCTCCGCCTCCTTCTCCCGGGGCCAAGTCCCAGAGATCCGCGGCTCCGCAAAAAGTGGAGCGATCGGTTTGGTCTTATTTTCGGCCTCCGGGGGCCCTCGACGGGTCCCTGAGCCGTCCACAACGACTCAAGATGAAAAACCGGCCCTGGGGAAGTGGTCTAGACTTCCCAGGGGTGCACGCATCGAAACAATTGGAGCGCCGGATGCCTGGGGTCGTGGCCCGCCCCAGGGCGACTGCCAGGATGCATTCGTACCCTCCGCTGCGGCTCTTCGGAAGGCACCTGTGCACCGTCGTCCTGCGGTGGCCAGGACCAGCCTAGGCACCGGGATCGTGCACAGACCCTCCTGGCCTGGGCCAGGGGTGCGTATACACCATGCCGGCTGGCCCTGGCCAGGCACGGTGATGGTGTACACGGTGCCCTTCTGCACATCGGAGCCGTTCCTTGGGACGCCTCACTGGCCGAGGTTTGGGGCTGTGCCTGGCCCTGTTCGGGCCTCGGGAGACCTCGAGGGTGTGCGGACGTGAGGCTCTGCGCGCCCCCCTGCGGGCGGGGTCCTCCTCCTCAACCTCCTCCTCCTACTCCTCCTCCTCCTCCTCCTCCTCCTCCTCCTCCTCCTCCTCCTCCTCCTCCTCCTCCTCCGCGGTGCGCGAGCGGCGGAGCAACTCCATGAGCTCCACGTGCAGGCTGCCCGCGCTCATGCCGCCCGAGGAGCTCGGCAGGAGCCCGCAGCATGGCCTCGACGTGGACGAGCTGAGGTCGGCCCCCAACACCCCCCCCTCGTCGGGGAGCAAGCCGTGGCATCGGCGTGAGCCGTCGGAGGTCCGCGCGGACGTCTCGACAGTCGGCGCTGGGAGGACCCCCCCCCTCTCCCTGGCGCGCGAAAGGAGCGCACCAGGGGGCGGTGCCAGAGGCGCCGCCGGAGGTGGCCCGCCAGCGCCGAGCCGAAAAGTCCGGCGCGGAGCTCCGCGGGGGCACGTCCGTGCCGCCCTCGGCGCCCCGACCCCTCGCCCTCGCAGACCTCGGCCCGGCGGCTGCCGCGGATGTCCTCCGTCAGCTCGCTGCGCCAGGACGCCGCGGCCCGGAGGCGGGGCTCCATGGCCGACCTCCGCGCGGCCCCCTCGCCGTCCTCGCGGGCGCAGAGCCCCTGCTCCGCCCGCAGGAGGCCGGAGCAGTCCAGGAGGAGGTCCACGAGCGACCTCTTCGCGACGGGGGCGCCCCCGACGGTCCAGAGGCGCGGGGGACAAAGCGTGTCCTCGGCATCGCTCGGGCGTGTGTGCGCTTCTCTCTTCCTCGGCGGGGGCCCTCGAGGAGCAGCGCAGGCCATCCTGCGAGAGGAGGTCCACGCGCGAGGCCGAAGGGTGCACGCGCAACGGGCGCCCGAGCGGCGGCAAGCGTCGGGCATGGGCAGACAGACCCACGCCCCCGGAGAGGTCGACCCGAGGAAAGCTGCACGGGTTCGCTCGACACTGGCCTGCGAGTGTGCCAGCGCAGGCCGCGGTCGCTTGCGCTAAGCGGCGTGCGCTGTCGCCACATGGGCTCGGTTGTTGTTGGGCGCCCAGCTTGTGGAGGTCCGCGCGGATTTCTCGGGTCGGCGCCGAAGCTCCCGGGAGGCGCCTCCAGTGCAGCCCCTGGTGCGCTCCGCGCGCCAGGGAGGGGGGGTCCAGCGCCGATCCAAGAAATCCGCGCGGACCTCCGACACCAGCCATGCGGATGAGTGACCCTTCGCCAGAGTGACCGTGGATGCGGGACCGTAGGGTCAAGTCGGGCATGTCCCTGCACAGGAGGAATATTCAAAAATAGTCAAACAGTAGTCAGGGGACGATTGTTCTAGATTACTTTTGAATACATGCATATACACACAGAAATATGTATGTGCAAAAATACACATACATGCATGCATGCATGCATGCATGCATGCATGCATACATGCATACATACATACATGCATACATACATACATACCTTGTTTGCCTATTTCTGCTTCCGCCCAAAATCCCCCCGTAGGGGGACATGCCCCACCTAATCCTACGATCAGCTGCCCTGATACGCCCGCTGTGAAACTCAACACGTACCGTGTTCAAACAGTCCGTGTTAACACGTTGCTTGTTGGACCTACGTGTTCAGTCTACGTGCTGAGCCCCGTGTCAACGCGCTACGTGTTGCGTGCTGCGTATCGGGGCAGCTAAGCTCCTACGTGTGGGCGACACAGGTTCATGCTCATGGAATGTGCTGCTCCTCTACCCAGACCTCCGATGCCTTGGGTTCATCAACGCGCGCATTCCAGAAGTCCCGACCCTTTCCCCAGAGCCGGCTCTTCATCCTGAGGCGCTGTTTGAAGGTCCACGGGCCGGGTGAGGGCCCCCAGAGGCGGAAAATTATGAAGCATCTCCGACTGAAGTTCCTCGAGACGTTGGAGGTCTAGACACGTGTAGGCAACAACACCTTATGCTTGTGCAGCTTTTTTGCTACACGTAAGAGTGATCCTTCGCCGGAGTGACCCTTGGTGCGGGCACACCTGGGACCCCATGCAGATGATGGAGCGCGATGCAATAGCAGCGTCCCGCGCGCTCGGATTTGGCCTCCCCGCGGCCCCCGAAGCTCGCGCACTAGAGGTCACTCTTACCGTGGGTCCCTCTTGCGTTGCATCAAGGGAGGAAAAAACACCCGGACCCGACAATCGGCGGTTGCTAAACGGCCCTGAGCGTTTATTGAGCAGCCCTGCCCTGTTCGATCCCTTCTGCGGGTGCGTTTACTGAACGGCTGCGCGTGTCGGGGTGATTATTATCGAGGAAGATTTTCTGCCCTCGACTGCAGCTGAATTCCCAGACATGCGACGCCATGATTTTTTCAGGACGGCGCCCCTGAAAGTCCTGACCCTTTCCCCGGGACTGGCGTTTCGTCTCGAGTCCTTTTGTTGACAGTCCCGAGTCCCGGCGAGGGCCCCCGGGGCCGAAAATAGCCGAAAACCTCCCGTCTTGCTGTTTTCAGCGACGCGATCATGTCTGGGCCCCTTGCCCCTCCACCAAGGAGCCCTTCCGGGGCCACCGGGCGCCCGGGCCTCGGCGTGCTGGCGGGCAGCGCCCGCCAGGCCGCGCGCCTGGACAACGGGTTCTCACCGCGGCACGCGTCGCGGCGCGAGGTCCTCGCCGACGACCCCGACCTCGCCGACGCCCCGCGGCGGTCCTCGCCACTAGCGCAGACTCCCTCCTCCGCCTCCTCCTCCGCCGCCTCCTCCTCATCCTCCTCCTCCTTATCCCCCTCCTCCTCCTCCTCCTCATCCATCTCCTCCTCCTCCTCCTCCTCCTCCGCCTCCTCCTCCTCCTCCTTCTCCTCCGCTTCCTCCTCCGAATCCTCCTCCTCCGCCTCCTCCTCCATTCCTTTCCCTCATAAATCATGTCTCCCTGTCGCAACTCGAGGCCAGTTTTAGGGCGGGCCGGGCGTTTCGCCTGAGATTTCTTCACCATGTATGACCCTGAAGCTTCAAAATTGGCAGCAGTTTCACAGATTCAGGGCTGGTGGTTTTCAAAATGTGGCTCTCGCCTTAACGCCGCGCACATTCGGTTTAAACATTTGCAAGAGCTTCACAGAGTGAGGGCGGGTGGTTTTCAAAATGTGGTTCTCGCCTTAGCGCCGCGCAAAATCGCTTTAAATATTCGCAAGAGTTTCACGGATTGATGGGAACGCGTTTTCAAAATGTGGCTCTCGCCTTGGCGTTGCGCACAACAATTCGCAAGAGCTTCACGGATTGAAGGCGGTTCCTTTTCAAAGTGTGGTTCCCGCCTCAGCGCCGCGCACATTTGTTTTAAACATCTGCAAGAATTTCACGCCTTCCCATGATCAAAGTACCAGAAAGTATGTGTTGGACAGATTCAGGATTATGAGGGTGCAACAGGTACGTTCATTCGCGGTGTTGAAGTCCCAAGAAAGGCGGATCGCCAAAAGGCAGCAGTCAGGTTGATCCGTGGCGTTGGAATCCCGAGAACAATGTTTTGGCATGCTTCAAGGTCTTTAAACGATTATCTTCCAACGCTTCAGTTCCCTCAATGGAAATGAATTGTTGTAGGGGCCTATGAAGAGGGAGCTTGGAGGGAGGGTTTATGCCAACATCGTTGATGACTCTTGGGTTGTCCTCCTCCTTCCTCCTCCTCCTCCTCCTCCTCCTCATCATCATCATCATCCTCCTCCTCCTCCTCCTTTGCCTCGTCCTCCTAAAAAGAAGGTTTTGCACTTTTGCTCAGCCTCCGGGGGACTTCACGGGGCCTCCGGGCTTTCAAAAAACGGCTCAGGATGAAAAGCCGGTGCCGGGGAAGGGGTCCAGACCTCTGGGGGTCGGCGTTGCGAAGAGATCACGACGTCGGAGGCCTGGGAAGGAAACGGGTCCTCAGCTGTTTCGCCGCTTTCGGGCTCTCTGGGCCCTCCATGGGCCCCAGGACCTGCAGAAGATGATTCAGGATGGGGAATTGGTCCCAGGGGAAAGGCCTGGAGTGAAGGCCCCGCGTCCTTCATGACAAGGTCCTCGTCCCACTCGCGGGCGGTGCGCCCGGCGGACCTCCACGGGGGAAAAGAAACCGATACACCGCCACCATTGCCTCGATTTCGCCTTTGTGGGTCTCCTGGGAGGTCCTCGTCGCCACCGCTGGGATCGCCTCGAGACCCAACCCGGGGAGGGGTCCAGGGAGTAACCGTGTGCATGTCGGTTTCCCCAGGACCCGAGCTCGGAGTTCCACGACTGGCACACGCAGGCAGGCTCACGCCCAGAGATCCGAGGCTCCAGAACGATTGGGGCGCCTGGTTCGGAGCCAGCTCCTGCCTCGCGGGGGCCCTCGACGGGCCCCGGAACCGCTAAAAACCGAGTCCAGATGAAACAGATCTGCCCTGGGGTCCGGAATCTGGGCCCTGCTTGTCGCTCCGCCACTTTCGGGGGAACGCAAGACCCGGGTTTGCCAGGACTCGGGTTCGCCATCGTTTTTTGACGACCGCGCCTCGGATTTTGACGAGGAGGAGTTTCGTGGGATGTCTGCAGCGGGAGGCCTCGTCAAAATGCAGGCTCGGCCTCGTCATTTTTTTGGCGACCTCGTCGGGGATTTCCGAGTCCCCCGTACCCGGGTCTTACGTCTCCCCGACACTTCTGGCCCACCACGCTTCGGCGCGACGCGCCGTCCACTTCCTGGCCCCCCCGGGGCGCCAAGGTCCCCGAGCTTCCCCATACAGCTCTCCCGGAGCCCGCCGCCCCGAGCGGGGCGGAGCGAGAGGCGATCCGCTCGCAGAGAAGGGGCGTGCCGCCGGGACCGCCGCGGCGACACGCGGAGCCCAAGCTTCGGACCGTGTGGGGGGAGGAGGAGGAGGACCAAGGACCAAGAAGAGGGAGGGGGGAGGGGGAAGAGGAGGGAGGAGCAAAAACCAGGGAGGGGAGGAGGGGCCGCTCCACCACGAGAAGCGGCCACCACGGCAGGCAGCCAGCTTGTCGGGACTCCTGGAGCAGCTCGAAGAGAACAAATGGAAATACTCTTTTTCTTCAACGTGTCCAGACCTCCGGGGGGTCCACGCATCGAAAAAGTTGGAGCGCCGGATGTCTGGGGGCCGCCCCAACTGGGGGTCCGAGGGCGGAGGGCTCGTGTCGCGTCGGCGCGGCTGCGACCCTGTTGCGGGCGCTCAGGACTCAACGCCGCTGGTGCGAGCCGCCGAGCGTTCGAGGTCGGCCGAGCCGCGCGGTGTCAGCAGCCCACGCGCAAGACGTCACGACATGGCCTCTGGTGCGAGCCGCCGATCGTTCGAGGTCGGCCGAGCCGCGCGGTGTCAGCAGCCCACGCGCAAGACGTCACGACATGGCCTTGCCGCAGGTGGGGTCGCATGGGGGCGCCGAGTCGCCGATGCATCGGCGATGCGGCGCGGCCCGGAGCTCGACCCGCTTCACCCCGACGCCGCGGACGCGTCGCCGAGGCATCGGCGGCGCGGTGCGGTCTTCCGGCCCCGCCCGCTCGGGCCCCCAGCGGGGCCGCGCCCCGCAGGCCATCGCGGGGTTCATGCGCACCCCCCCGCGCCGCGCCTCCCTGCTCGCCCTGAAGCTGCTCGCGCTGTCGAAGCCGAGCCAGAAGGAGGAGCACGAGGCCCCGGGCATCCTCGAGGCCGACGACGCGGCCGGCAGCGAGGGCAGCGGCGCCCCGGACGAGAAGCCCGACGACGTCCGCTCGAGCGAGGAGACGGACAGCGACGAACCGCACGTGCCCCTCGCGCCCACGCTGCTCGAGATCTACTCCGGCTACGCGGAGGATCGAAGAAGTCTGTAGCCTCACGTCGGGCCTGTCCCCCTACAGGGGGACTTTCGACGAAAAATAAGAAATACCCCAAAATAGTTGAAAAATGCTCCGAAAATGGTCTGGAGACTATTTTTAAGATATTGTTTGACCTCTTTATGGTATTTTGGGGGTATTTTTTATTTTTCGTCGAAAATCCCCCTGTAGGGGGACAGGCCCGATTTAATTGTAGCCAGAGTCCAGCATCTCCTGGCATCGTCTTTCGAGCCCGCGTGGCTCCCAGGAGTGCTCGCGCGGCCTCCTGCCCCTGTGTTCGGGCCACGCCTGCGGCGTCGTCGTCGGCCGTCTCGCCATCGTCGCCGTCCTCCTCCTGTGGGTCGGAGCAGATGGGGGTCCGAGTAGATGGGGGTCGGAGGATCCCGCCGCTTCGCCGATGCATCGACGATGCCGCTCGATGTGGAGCCTGTGTTCCCCCGCGCCGACATCGCCGATGCATCACCGGCGTCGCCGATGCATCGCCGATGCATCGGCAATGTATCGGTGATGCATCGGCGATGCGGCGCGATCCTTCGACCCCATCTACGAGGCCTATAACTATCCTTCTCTCCGTCGCCCTCCCCCCTTCCAGTGCACCTCCACCTCTTCCTCCTACTCCTCCTCCTCCTCCTCCTCCTCCTCCTCCTCCTCCTCCTCCTCCTCCTCCTCCTCCTCCTCCTCCTCCTCTTCCTCCTCCTCCTCCTCCTCCTCCCCCTCCTCCTTCACATCCTCCTCCTCATCCCCCTCCTCTCGTGTTCCCGCTCCGCCTCCTCCCAGTCATCCTCATCCTGATCCTCCTGGTCATGCTGCTCCTCCTCTTCCGCCCCTCATGTTCCTCCTCTTTCTCCTCCTCCTCCTCCTCCTCCTGCTCCCCCTCCTCCTCCTCCTCCTCCCTCCTCCTCCTCCGTAGCCATTTTGGCTCAAGTCCGTAGCGGGAGGCTCAGCGAGTTGAGAGTGGCAGGGGGGAGGTGCGCCCGCACCAGCGATCTTTGGACCGCGCCCAGGCTTTCACACGAAGCCCGTTCAGGGGGCAACTCCAATACTGTACGCTGTGGCCCACTGGCACTTGTTGTGTTTCTGGTGCGCTCCTGGCGGAGCCCATGGGCAAGGATGCGACCAAACAGTCCCTCTCGTGCACGAGCTGTCGCTACCGATGGAACTGGAAGTCGAGGGCCGAGTGCTACTCGTGCAGTGCGGCCCTCGTCCCAGCGGTCCAACCGCCGTGGCGGAAGGCTCAGGGAGCGTGGTCGGCGTCGGGCGGCAAAGGCCGGCGGCAGCCAGCGTAGCCGCCAGGGTCGTGGGCGCCTGCCCGCATGGAGACACCCAAGCCGTCGACGCCACCGCATCGGCGCACGGGTTCTCCCTCGGTCGCCGAGCTCCTGGAGCAGCTCCAGCAGCACGTCGGCAAGGACGCAGGGGCCCAGGAGCTGGAGGCCCTGGTGCAGGCGGTGGCACCAGAGCCAGAGCCCCCGCCGCGGCAGCCCCTGTTGAAGGAGACCACCAGCGTTCAGGGGGGTGCCTGTCGCCAAGCGGAGAAGGCTGCCGAGCAGGCGGCGCAGCAGGAGGACGAGGCGAGGCGCTGGATGGAGGACTGCATCAAGAAGACGGCGGCGGCGGCGCACGCGTCGGTGCTGGCCAAGGCGGAGCGACAGGCGGAGCTCAAGGTGGAACCCCAGCGTGCGGCACCAGGCTCAGCGGTACCAGAGGCGACGCAGGTGCCAGCAGGGTCGCAAATCAACCTGTCGCAGTTGCCTGCGGACGGGAGCGGCTTTGACGCGGTGGAGATTTGTCGACGGAGGCTTCCTCGATCTCGGCGTTTTGAAAGTGGAACATGTCGAGCGGGACAAGTGGCTGGAGCTCAAAGGTAACATGGCCAAGGAGCTACAGGAGGCCATCGTGGCGGCCATCGGACCAAGCGCGGAGAGAATCCAGAAGCTCTGTGCCGAGGCCAGGGCGATGCGACAGCGCCTTGCTGCCAAGCCTGCCCGCAAGGATGACGCGGCGTCCGTCTCCAGCGGGGAAGGGTTGGCTACTCCTGGGTGTGCATCTGATCCTCTTCCTACCCATGCGAGCGCTGGGGCAAGCGCCAGTGCAGGAGGGGGCTCAGCAGGCTCAGCTTCTCATGCCGCCCCAGGAGCACGGCGGCAGTCAGCGGCAGCAGCTCCCAGCGCCGAGGAGATGCAGGCCGCCGTCGCGGCAGCCAGAGCGAAGCTGGCTGGGTGCGCCCAGGAGGGCCTTTTTTATCACGGACCCGCTAGGGCAGCAACCGATGGGGAGGCCACTAAGGGGCGATGTCCCGAGGGCAGACCCAGACAGAAGCAGGCGAGAGCTTGCTGGAGCAATGACGAGCTGGGGAACCATATGGATCTGGAACATCGATAGCGAGGGCCACGTGGACCAGGCTTCATGGCAACATTGGTGCGCAGAGTACCTCACCAGTTTTTATTTAACAGCGAAGACTGATAGGTTTCTAGTAGTGTCAAAAGAAAGCATCTTGACTCCCCAGGGGGGTCTGGGCGGGTGCCGGGGAGAAGCCGCGGAAGTCGTCTTAAGCAAACAGTTGCACACTTCGTGGTCTTTGATGTCCCAGAACTTCATTCCTGGGCATGATTTTGAATGCCCGGAGCCAACTGTAGGCCACTTCGTGGTCTTCGAATTCCCAGAACTCCACTCCTGGGCATGATTTTGAATGCTCGGAGCCAACTGTAGGCCACTTCGTGGTCTTTGAGCTCCCAGACTTCATTCCTGGGCATGATTTTGAATGCCCGGAGCCATCTGTAGGCCACTTCGTGCTCTTCGAGTCCCCAAAACTCCAATCCTGGGCATGATTTGGAATGCCCGGAGCCATCTGTAGGCCACTTCGTGCTCTTCGAGTTCCCAGAACTCCATTCCTGGGCATGATTTTGAATGCCCGGAGCCATCTGTAGGCCACTTCGTGTTCTTCGAGTTCCCAAAACTCCACTCCCTGGCTACATGTTGAATGCTGAGGCATGCTGAGGCTGAGGCTGAGGCAGGCTGAGGTTGAGGCCGAGGCTGAAGGCAGACTGAGGCTGAGGCTGAAGCAGGCTGAGGTTGATTCAGGCTGAGGCTGAGGCTGAGGCAGGATGAGGCTGAGGCTGAGGCTGATGCAGGCTGAGGCCTGAGGCAGGCTGAGGCTGAGGCCGAGCCTGAAGGCAGACTGAGGCTGAGGCTGAAGCAGGCCGAGGCTGAGGCTGAGGCTGGCTGAGGCTGAGGCTGACGCAGGCTGATGCTGATGCCGAGGCTGAGGCTGAGGCTGAGGCTGAGGCTGATGCAGGCTGAGGCTGAGGCAGGCTGAGGCCGAGGCTGAAGGCATATTGAGGCTGAGGCTGAAGCAGGCTGAAGCTGAAGCAGAGGCAAGCTGAGGCTCAGGCTGAGGCAGGCTGATGCTGAGGCAGGCTGAGGCTGAGGCTGAGGCTGATGCAGGCTGAGGCTGAGCAGGCTGAGGCAGGCTGAGGCTGCAGGCTGGCTGAGGCTGAGCTGCAGGCTGAGGCTGAGGCTGAGGCTGAGGCTGAGGCTGAGGCTGCAGGCTGAGGCTGAGGCAGGCTGAGGCTGAGGCCGAGGCTGAAGGCAGACTGAGGCTGAGGCTGAAGGCAGGCTGAGGCTGAGGCTGAGGCAGGCTGAGGCTGCGGCCGAGGCTGAGGCTGAGGCTGAGGCAGGCTGAGGCTGCAGGAGGCTGAGGCAGGCTGAGGCTGAGGCTGAGGCTGATGCAGACTGAGGCTGAGGCTGAAGCAGGCTGAGGCTGAGGCTGAGGCAGGCTCAGGCTGAGGCTGAAGCAGGCTGATGCTGAGGCAGGCTGGGGCTGAGGCTGAGGCCGAAGGCAGACTGAGGCTGAGGCAGGCTGAGGCCGAGGCTGAAGGCAGACTGAGGCTAAGGCTGAAGCAGGATGAGGCTGAGGCTGAGGCAGGCTGAGGCTCAGGCTGACGCAGGCTGAGGCCGAGGCAGGCTGAGGCTGAGGCTGAGGCTGATGCAGGCTGAGGCTGAGGCAGGTTGAGGCCTAAGCCGAGGCTGAAGGCAGACTGAGGCTGAGGCTGAAGCGGGCTGAAGCTGAGGCTGAGGCAGGCTGAGGCTGAGGCTGAAGCAGGCTGAAGCTGAGGCCGAGGCTGAGGCTGAGGTCGAGGCGGATGCAGGCTGAGGCTGAGGCAGGCTGAGGCTGAGGCCGAGGCTGAAGGCAGACTGAGGCTGAGGCCGAAGCAGGCTGAGGCTGAGGCTTACGCAGGCTGAAGCTGAGGCTGAGGCAGGCTGAGGCTGAGGCAGCCTGAGGCTGAGGCTGATGCAGGCTGAGGCTGAGGCAGCCTGAGGCTGAGGCCGAGGCTGAAGACAGACTGAGGCTCAGGCTGAAGCAGGCTGAGGCTGAGGCCGAGGCTGAGACTGAGGCAGGCTGAGGCTGAGGCTGAGGCTGATGCAGGCTGAGGCTGAGGCAGGCTTGAGGCTGAGGGCGAGGCTGAAGGCAGACTGAGGCTCAGGCTGAAGCAGGCTCAGGCTGAGGCTGAGGCAGGCTGAGGCTGAGGCTGATGCAGGCTGAGGCTGAGGCAGGCTGAGGCTGTGACTGCGACTGCCGTTGCCACTGCGACTGTCATCGCGAATGCGACTGCGACTTCGAGAACAGCAGAATTCGACAACCGGATTCTCATTTGAATCTTAAGGGGAATGCTTCCAGATATTCTCCTACACATCGCTGTTAGGTTGCTTTGCCGGGATAATTTTTTGCTGAAGCCAAATCACGCCCATCGCAGGCGAGACATGGCCAGGCAAAGTGCAGCGGTCGCCCCAGGTGGGGCCACGGGCGAGAGAACCCTGGCCAGTTGGAGCAGGCGGCGTGGAAGCCTGGCGCAAAAGCATACGGAACAGGCAAGCGCTTCGCGACATGATGAGGTCCTTGTCTGGTTCGCTATGGAATGCCTTTGCAGAGTATCGCTGGATGGAACTGGGAAGGCTGCTGGATTTGTTTCGTGAGCAGCTGGCAGGCAGTGGACGGCAGCCGGCCACCGGGCCGATGGTGGCCCGTGGGGCGCCCAGCCGAGGGCAGACCCTGGAGGGGGGCAGCGGGCCTTGGATCGAGGCCGCAGACATGCACCACGCGCGACGCCGAGGATGGCCACTCCTCGGCGGCGGAGACGCTGCCGAAGGTGGTGGCGCGCATGCGCAGGGAGGAGAAGGCCCGGGCTCAGCCCCAGGTCGAGCCGCCTCCCACCGCGACCACCTCGGCGGCGTCGAGAGCCCCGAAGAGCGAGGCCGCTGAGGAAGCGCCTCGCAGGGTGGGCGGACAAGCGCGGGAGGTTCGCAGCAGGCTGGCCGAGCCTACGACTCCGACGCCCTCATGCCACGGCTGGGGAGCCCTGGCTGGTCCGTGGGCACCAGTTGCCGGAGGTGCAGGTCCTCGGCAGGCTTGAGCCGCCCTTCCTGGCGCGCACGGTGCGCTACATGTACGCAGGACGCCCGAGATGGTCTGGGGGGCTGAGCAGCGGCTGCAGCCGGGCCGAAGCCAGAGCCCGCCAAGGCTCGCGTGCCCAGGCCAGGAAGGACCTCGAGCGGAGGACCCCCCCAGCGACGAAGCAGCCGCTCGGCGAGCTTCAGTCGAGTGCCCACTCCGCATACACAGCTACTCCAGCTTTCAGTAAAAGGTGCACTCGCGCGCGCCGCCGGCCTCCGCCCTCGGCCGGCGATCAGACATACGACGTACAACATAAGTCCACGCTTTGCTTCGCGGACATATGATCACGCCATGGCGACGGGGAGCCCCCCACCCCAATGCACAACATGAGGCCAACATTAGAAAACACTCGCATTAAGAACCGCAGGATCATCCTAAACATGCGTTTACGAATGCGAATACTTTTGGATTGGATTTTACGCGGCAAATTGTTTAGACTGCTAAACCACCTCGAGCGCAGCACCTCGGAGCCTTCAATTGCAAGGATGTCCCAGGCGAAACTCGCCAGGACACCAGCGCACATGTTCTCAGAGCCCAGAGTTGGGACGAGGTCTGAGGCGAAACGAGCCGGACAACCTCGCGCAGCTGTTGCCCAAAAGCTTGAGTTGCGAGGATATCTCAGGCGATTCGGGCCAGACCACCTCGCACGCAGCATCTCGAAGCCCACAGTTGCGAGGATGTCTCAGGCAAATCTCGCCAGACCACCTCGCGCGCGGCATCTCGGAGCTCATAGGTGCGAGGATATCTCTGGCGAAACGCGCCTGATCACTCCACGCGCGGCGGCTCGGAGCACAGAAATGGGAGGATGTTCCAAGCTGAACGATCCAGGCAACCTTACGCGCGGCATCTCGGAGCTCAGAGTTGCTAGGATGTTTCAAGCTAAACGCGCCGGACCACCTCGCACGCGGCGCTTTGGAGCCCAGGGTTGCGAGGATGTCTCAGGCAAAACGCGCTGGACCACCTCTCGCGAGAAACATCGAAGCTAAGAGTCGCGAGCATGTCCCAAGCGAAACGCGCTGGACCACCTCGCGCGCGGCATCTCGGAGCTCAGAGTTTCGATGATGTCTCAGGCGAAACGGGCTGGGCCACCTCGTTCGCGGCATCTCGGAGAGTTGGGAGGATGTCGCAGGCGAAACGCGCCGGACCACCTCGCGCGCGGCGTCTTGGAGCCCAGGGTTGCGAGGATGCCTCAGGCGAATCGCGCGGCACCTCTTCGCGTGGCATCTCGGGGCCTAGAAATGCGAAGATGCAGGCAAAACGGATCAGACCACCCGCACGCGGCATCTCCGAGCTTAGAGTTGCGAGGATGGCTCAGGCGAAACGGGTTGGACCACCTCGCGCGCAGCATGTCGGAGCCCCGAATTGCAGGGACGCCTCCAGCGAAACGGGCCAGACCACCTCTCGCGCGGCATCTCCAAGCTCAAAGGTTCGAGAATGTCCAAGGCGAGGCACCCAATCCTGGCCCAACCCGGGGAAACTCGGAAACGCGACGTGTGAAGACGTCTGAGGCGAACGGGCCAGACCACTTCACCTGCTCAAGATGCCCCCCTGCGTCCTGCCCTCGGCCGGACTTCGGCTTCTGCCACCACAGCACCCCGCTTGGGAACCTGTTTGGTGGAAGAAGTTGCAGGAATAGAAAACGTTCGGAGGTCCGCGCGGGCTTCTGGAATTGGTGTTCATGCCAGCAGTTGTCCCCTTATCCTTCTTCTCGTCCTCCTCGTCCTCGCCCTAATGCACCTCCTCCTCCTCCTCCTCCTCCGTAGCCATTTTGGCTCAAGATGTTGTTGTCCCACGGGCAAGAAGTGGATACCTCTAGTCCGAGGCTTGTTCCCGTTTCAGGCAACCCCAGTCGAGCTGCGCGCTGCTGGGGCCAAGAGACTGCTTCCTCGGACACGAGTTTGGCAACTCCAGCGGCGTGCCTGCGCGCGCAATGGGGCGCGGGCGCCAAACCTACACGTGTTGCAAGACTTGCGGTGGTTGGGCCTACGACTGGAAGCTCGAGAAGTCGGGCGGTCGGTGCTACAAGTGCCAGACTGTACTCCCAGGTTGGTCGCCACCCGCGCAACGCGAACCGGGTGTCGAGTCGGTCGGCAAGAGCAAGGGCGGCAAGGGGCCTCCCTGGCGTAAGGCGACGGCAGTACATGGCTCGCTGGCAGAGCTCAGCAGCATGCTGGAGCGAGTCGAGACACTCACGGCGCAGATGGCCCCTCAAATCGACCTGGGACCAGTCAAAGCGGCGCAGTCGCAGGTGCAAGCGGCTGCACAGGCCCCCAAGAAGGAGGCCTCTAGGGAGCTGGAGCTGCGGCAGGCGATCAACAAGCTCAACAGGTGCCAGTTGGAGGTGGAGAGTACGACCTCCACCCTGCAGGAGGCGGAGGAGAAGATCTCGCTGCTGCGCGCCAAGAACGAGAAGGCCATCGAGGATGCGGCAGACGCTGTGCTGGAGCACAAGAGGGCGTTGGCGGCGTACCAGGCGGAGACCGCTTGGCAGCCCCCAGACCCGCCCCAAGAAGAATGGCAGGCACCTGCGGTCGGCGACCTGTTCGACGACCTGGACGACTACGAGGAGGAGGATAGGACCAAGCTCAAGAAGTTCAAAGTAGACATGGAGACGCTGGACCAGTTGCTCCAGGCTGCGGCGGGCCAGTTCCGCCAGTTCAGCGAACTCAAGCAGGAGGCGGCCAGCCTACGGCGGCAGGCCCAGAAGAAGCGCGAGAAGGTCGACGGCACGGGCGGGACCCAGAAGGGGGCGCAAGAGACGCAGGCCGCTGAGGCCGCGAGTGGCGGCCCAGGGCCCGCGGCGACGGCCCAAGGCCGACGAGTTCATTTCGGTTGAAGGTAAGCAGAAGGATAGCATCACGATGTGCGAGACGCATGTAGATTGTAACAAGTTGGAGCAGGTGAGGGAGGAGGCATCTCGCGACGGCTGGAAGTTATCGGGCACAGTGCGGTGCCCACCAAGCGATCGGAGACAGGAACCTCTGGCGGCGAGTTCATCTTGGCCAAGACCCACCTGGCCTGCACGGGCTACGATGTCCTGCGGAAGCGGATGGTGGACAACGGTGACGTTGACCCGTTTAGGGGATTTGCAGCGCTCAATGTCCACACGCGATCGGGCAACATCATCTTGGTCGCGGCGTACCTGGTCCCAGGTGAAGGTTCCACAGGGTCGAATTACCACAGAATTCGATCCCTGTCAGGTTTCGCCCGGTTTCTCACGGATCCTTGGGTGATCTTGGCTGACTGGAATATCCCGCTCGAACATATGGAGAAAGCTGAGCTACCAGGTAGGCTGGGCGGAGTTGTCATCCGCCCAGATATCAGCATCACGTGCGACAAGGGTAATGGCAGCCTCATCGACCACGGCATTGCGAGGCTGGATTTCGCGCCCAGGCTCGAGCTATTGGCTGAGGACCGAGTACCATGGCGCACGCACTGTGGACTGCAGTTGGTGATAGAGGGCACTAAGCAGGAGTGGTGGCACCGGCAGGTTGGCATCCCGAAGGCACTCCCGCACCAAGGTCGCCCTCAGAAGGCGGCGGACCCAGGCTCGGAAACGAGCAAGAAGAAGCAGGCGGCGCGCCACAGGGCGCAGCACGCATTGGAGGAGCACCTGCAGGAGGCCTACGAGGAGGCCATGACGGTGGAGGAGTCGGCGGCTGACACCCTGATTGACTCGGTGCCGCCGAAGCCCTACAACATCACGAGCGGTATCTGGGAGCAGGTTAGCTTCGGGGATCACAAACTGGAACTGACGGAGGAGATGCGCATCATAGGTGACAAGATGATCATCAGGAGCGCGAAGCACCAGATGGACGAGCACCAGTTGACGGAGCAGTACGGCGCGTGGGTCGCGAGGGTAGAGGAGGCCCACATCCTGAATGAGCAAATCGACGTTCAGGAGGCGCAGCGGTGCAAGGGGCGCGCGTCAGGTTTTGGCATACGATGGATACGTGCGAAACCCACACCAGGACGTACACACATGAGATACGGACCAGCAGAGGAATGGAGCATATTGGCAGCTGATTTGGTTCGATACCAGTCCCTGGTGATGAATGGCACTGATGTCAAGGAGCAGAGCATGTGTGTCAAGCGCATCCCCAGGTAGATCGGAGTTCTCAGAGGCATCGCGCACAAGGATGCCTTTAGCAAGCACGACACAGAGACCAGCAGCAATATGTACTTCCAAATGGCAGAGGACATTCTAGAATTAGACTTGGGACAGCTGGCAAATCTGGCTGACCAGACGGAGAAGTACCTGGCCAAGGCATCGGCCAGATCGATGACGACGGCGAGGAAAAGCTTCGCGACTTGGGCGAAGAAGGCCTGGCAGACCAAGGCGGGTATATTGCACAGGCACGTCAAGCCGAAGGAGGCACCCACATACGAGATCGCGATAAGGCCAGATTCTGCCACGGCTGGCCCAACCATCACCATGCGCTCGAAGGCCAGTAAATGGGAGACCATATGGACGGATCCTGTGGATACGCGCACGGACATTATTGAACAGCTGGAGCACACGCGGCGCAGAACGAGACAGGAGGACCTTGACCCCATCGACATGGAGATGTTGAACGGTGTTCTGCGCGTCACTGCTGCTTTAAAGGCAAAAGGTTTGGATCAATTGGGCCCCACGGACATTGACAGACTCCCCGCGACGGCGAAGGAAGAGCTGTTATACATACTGCAACGGAGTGAAAGCACGATGGCGTGGCCACGGCAGCTATCGGCGACCAAGTGTGCAATGGTGGCGAAAGCAGGGCCTGCAGCGGGAGATCGTGTGTTGGGCATGCTACCCCTCCCAGTCAAGTTGTGGTCCAGAGCTCGTGGCGGTGCGTGCTCAATGTGGAGTGCGGAATTATCTGACCATTGGGATACAGCGATCAAGGGCAGTTTGGCACTCAGAGCAGGGCTGCTGCGAGCCAGATTGGGCGAGACGGGGATGGAGATAAGGGCATCGGCATTGACGCTTTTGTTAGATATCGAGAAATTCGATGACACGGTCTCCTTGGTGATCTTGATGCAGATAGCTTGCACGTCAGGATTCCCAGCAGTTCAGGATTCCCAGCAGTCGCTGTGGGGCTGGAAGTGGCAATGTTCCTAGGGCCGCGGTATTTGCAGGAGCGGCCCGCCATAGGCGAGGCCATATGGCCCACCAGATCGCTGGTGGCTGGCTCAGCTCGAGGGGTGGCATTGGCAAAAGTGTTTCTTCACCCAGTGCTAGAATTGGCTCATCGGGGGAACCCATCAGCAGGATTATGGACGTTCGTTGACGATACGGTGGTCAGATGCGAGGGAAGCGTCAACACGGTAAGCGAGCAGCTGGTGGAGGTCTCTACGGATATTTGCATGGGACTGGTTAGACAGAGAATGGCAATATCGGAGAAGACGACAGTGATCGGCTCCGACCTGGAACAAGCGAAGAAGGCAACGCAGCGACTACTACGTCGAGGCATACCAGCTAAAGCTACGGGGGTGGCAACGGACCTGGGGCTGGACACTGCTGGCGGAAGGAAAAGGGTTACGACGAAGGGTAAGCACAGACAAGACAAGGCGCGTGAGAGGTTCGCCCGGATTGTCAAGCGTAGGAGAATCGTTGCGCTGAAGAAGGAGTTCAAAGGCCTCTACAATGCGGGGGCGCTGCCACAAGCGATCTACGGGCAGTAGACCTTTGGAATGTCCAAGCAGGAGATCACACAACTTCGTCGCCAGGCTGGCAAAGTGGCAGGAGGTGGTGCAGGAGGACGCTGTCTCACGACCACGCTGGGCATGGAGTTGGGGCTTCGCGACCCTGCCGTGGATGTTCGTTTGGGCGCGGTACGTGAATGGATTGGCAGGTGGCAGAGGTTCCCGCGCATTCATCGTCGAGTTGCTATGGCGTGGCATGCCATTAAATCAAGGTTACTTCGGTTGGGGGCGAAGCGATGGCGAGCTGCACGTGGACCTACAGGTGCTCTCATTGCCACACTGATGGATGCAGGATGGACACCCACGACAGCGACACGGCGGCATCGCCCTGGAGTGGATGAGATGGAGATGCGGGAGTTGCCGACCTCCGAGGACGGCACCTTTGTCGACACGGGCTGCTTCCAGGAACTGCCAGACGATTTGGAGGGCGACCTGAGGAGAGATCTGTGGACGGAGGCCGCCAAGCACGAGTGCGGCGTCAACCCGCAGGAGGGCGGCGATCTGTGGCCCATCGTCATGGAGCAGCGGCGGTTCGAGCGCAAGGGTATGCTCGACCAGCTGGCGCTCGACGTGACGGTGGTCGCTGGCGGCCAGTGGCCGCGAGTCCGTAGCAGAGAAAAAGGATATCAGGTCCCAGTCGGTCGCCCGAGATGCAAAGCCGCCCCCGAAACCTCGAGGCACAGGATTTGGGAATGTTCTAGTAACAAGGAGCACGAGGATTTTAGTAAGAGCGAACCTTTAGTAGCTGCAGCACTAGCGCAAGCAGGAGCTGAGCCAACCTTATGGCTGCGCGGCCTTCCCCCGACTCGCCTCACTCACCCCCTCTTCGAGGAAGGGCGTCTGGAGGGGCGGGGGCTCAGGTTGGGCGGGAGGGGTGACTTTGAGGCCTCTCGAGGAAGCGACGGGATTTTAAAGATCTACGGCGACGGCTCGGGGGGGCGTTTTTCTGATGACCCCAGGCGACGACGCTGCGGGTCTGCTATTTGTCCCCTGAAATGGTCCCAGGGTGTGTTGGATTTGCAGCAGCGTTGTCCCGCCCCCTGCTCGGAGCCCGCCAGACCGTCCCGCGCTCCGAGATCCAGGCTTTTTGCATAGCCTTAGAGGAGATTTCGAGATCGTTCCTGTTTATCACATATCATTTATCGGTAGCTCGGAAGTGGCGCCAAAAAATGGAGAACCCCAGCCCGACAGGGGCTAATGAAGACCTCTGGACCAGGGCCCGAGAGGCCTGGCGCCTCAGGCCAGACACCGCCACTGTCGAAGTACAGTGGACACCCTCTCATGCAGATGAATCCCCTGAGCTGCTGGTGACAGACCGACAGCTAGAGACTGCGGCAGGCAACGCAGCGGCGGATATTTGGGCGAGGGAGGGGGCGGAGCTGGCGTGGGAGTCCGGGCTGGTGGGGGAAGATCCGCAGACGGACCGAATAGATGCCATCGCCAGTCTCGTGCGACGCCGCGCGAGAAGAACGCTGGCCGAGTCAGCGAATGTAGAAGTGCAGGCGAAAGGCGAACGCAAGGCTGCTGCCAAGCGATTGCCCGCCAACCTGGAAGCTCGAGCGGTCCGAGAGTCGGCCCACAGCATTGTGAAGGCTGGCGCGGGCTGGAGAAGCACCGTGTGTGATCAGGTGGCGCCAGGCTCCAGGCTGCTCAAGCTTGCGGCCACCCCTTGCGCAGGCAGGGCCCTCCCTGAGGGAAGTCGGCCCCCCGAGGTCCAGCAGGCCCCCCATAGGTTCGTGCCGGGGGCTCTGGAGTTTCATGAGACCCACGCTATGTTTTACGTGGACAAGGGGTTTATGCATGCTTGCAGTAAGTGTGGTCGCTTCGCGACAGTTGATGATAGACACATCAGGAAGCGTTGCGAGGGTTTGACCCCTAAGGGGTCAGAGAATTTGGCGAGAATTCGGACGGGTGCTTACCCGAGGAGAGAGGGGCCCCCACAAGCCGTTGTGGAAGCAATGGCGGCGCGCGATGGAGAGAGGGTGTCGTCTCTCGTCGGTCGGTCATGTACCGAGGGTGCTGCGCCTGGGGGCTCCTCCTCCGACCCTCCCCCACCGCCCATCCCCGCGGAGGCAAGGCCCGCCGCGCAGGCCAGTCGCGGAGTTCGGAGAGGAGCGGAGGCTCTTCGACGAGAGCCGCCCAATTTTGTTGGGGCGGTGGGAGGAGAGGATTCAGGAAGTTCAGATTAACCCCTTGGGGGTTAATGGTTTGTGGTTTGTAGGACAGAGGTCCGTTCTCATAGCATTCCCATAGCATTCCTCCTCCTCCTCCTCCTCCTCCTCCTCCTCCTCCTCCTCCTCCTCCTCCTCCTCCTCCTCCTCCTCCTCCTCCTCCTCCTCCTCCTCCTCCTCCTCCTCCTCCGTCCTCCTCCTCCGACGACGACGATTCCTCCTCCATCCTCCCCCTCTTGGTGTATCCGACGGCCTCCCCCCCTAGAGGAGACGGCGGAGACGCACGACAGGTTCATGCGCCTGGCGTTCAAGCGCTTCGAGGCCGCGGGTGCCGGCGAGATCGGGCGGGAGCGCCTGCACGACGCGCTCACCCACCTGGGTTTCCTGACCAGCACGCGGGAGCACTCCCTCGAATTGGCCGCGAAGCTCTCCAAGTTTCAGAACCTCGACTACGTGGATTTCTGCGACTACGTGAGCAAGTTCGCCGCCGACGAGCGCTCCGGCATCCGCCAGCGCGCGTGCGCGTGCGCGGAGGGCGGCGGCACAACGGCGCTCGACCGGATTCAGGAGTTCCTGCGCTCCGCCGGCGTGTTCATCTCGAACGATAGCGTGGAGGTGGCGCGGAAAGCGGCGAAGCTGGACCACATGAAGCTGGAGGACATGAGCACCAACGATCTCCTGCTGACTTTGGCCGCGTGCAGGCTGGATGAGAGCTTCACCAAGGAGGAGCTGGCGGAGGCGTTCGAGATCTTCGGCGAGCTGGAGAAGGAGCAGCACGTCTCCCCAAACGGCTGGGGCCGTCTGGCCAAGGCCTCCCAGCTCACCGACGGCATGCTTCAGTTTACCGGCCTCTACTCCGTGGACTACATCGAGCAGATGGCGGACATTTTGCCCTCCGACACCGAGGAGCAGCCTGGCTTCTGCTTCCACGAGTTCCTGGTCTGGCTTCGCCGGCTGCGCGACCCCATGACGCAGGACCTGTGGAAGCGTTTCAAGGACCTGGAAACCAGCGAGCCGGGCCTCATTCAGCGCGACAGTGCCATCACCATCGCGAAGCAGCTGGGGATTTCTCTGCTTGCGGACGCTGTAAATGAGCTTATGTTAGACCTCGGGTTGCAAGAGAACACCACCTTCGATTTCGACTCGCTGGTGCAATTTATAAGTGCGGCCCGGAAGACGCACGGCTTCTCGCGCTCCGAGGCGGAGGAGCTCGGCACCGCGTACGAGAAGATGGACTACGAAGGAACGGGTGAGCTGAACATCGTCCAGGTGCTCGACTTGCTTCGGTACCTGGGAAACACCACCAGCGTCGACGCTGCGAACGCCATGATCAAGCGGGTCGACTTTAACGGGAACGGGTCCATGGACCGCGACGAATTCTTGAGGCTGATGAGACTGATGCGCGAGCAGGATTGTTTGAAGGCACGCAAGTCCTTCGACGATCTGAGCAGCTCCACTGAGCAGCTGCCCAGAGGGTCTGTTAAGGACGCCCTTGCCAAGCTGCACTTGTCTCCAAAGGACGATTTGCTGGAAGAGCTCATGCAAAACATACCAGGAGATGTCTGCTTCACTTCCTTTATGCGCCTCCACGACCAGTGCCGCTTCCGCATGAACCTCGAGTTCAGGAAGTGCGGGGGATTCCCAGAGGCGACCACGAAGGAGATTGCGGAGCTCTGGAGCCCCGACGGCTCCCCGAAGAAGTTCGCCACCTTCGGCGAGCTCATCTGGATGTTCTCCGACTCGCAGGAGGTCCCCGTCAACACGAGCGACGGCCGGAGCGAGCTGCAGCGCCGCGTGATGGCCGCGCGGGAGTCCGCCATTGCGGCCGGAGTCTCGGAGGAGGAGGCGTCGCGCGAGGGCACCGCCGACATCGGCTTCTACACGTTCGTGCACCTGATCCGCGGGCTCGTGCGGGACTCGGAGCAGGACGTCATCAAGCGCGAGAAGGAGGCGGTGTCCGCGGCCCGCTTCCCGAGCAGCGAGGCCGCCGAGTTTCGCACCGTCTTTTCCGACCTCGCCGAGCAGGAGGCAAAGAAGGTATCATCCCGAAAGAAGAGGCCGGGCCGGACAGGCCAGAGTGTTGACAAGCTCCTGGCCAACCTCACGATGGTGCCTTCCATACCAGAGACGGGCGTGCTGTCCATGCTGAAGTCCATTGGGGTCAATGCGACCGCCAGCAAGATGGCTGAACTCAAGGACTTCCTGACCCAGACGAGGAGCCGATACGAGACAGACAAACATATAATCCAGTTCGCCACGTTCTTGAGGATGTTGCGATGGATGCTCGACACCGATTTCGCAAGCATCTGCAGCGTCATGAAGGTTCCGAAGGAATGATCGATCGGGCGGCACCGGAGCCTATAACTTCTCCGCCTGTCAGGCGTTGCGTAATAGGGGGCGATACATGGGGAGGTGAAGAGAGGTGCACCTCTTACGCCCTAAAGGGGCCCAAAAGGAGCACGAAAGATGCACGTTTCTGCCCACCACCCCGCACCCATCTAGGGTGTTCCGGAAAGGGCCTTGCCTCCGAGGATAGAAGGAGATGTCGTCTCCTCCGCGGCGGAAGGCGGCGACAGGTCGGCGGAAGAAAAACGAGGCCGCCTCCGCCGGCGGAAGCGGGCGGAGGGCGGCGGAAGTAGAAGATGCGCCCCCGAGAGGTGAAAACGTTTTGGGGTCCAGGGTTTCCGAGATTAGGGGAACGAGACATGGCATAAACATAACAACTCGGAGGTCCGCGCGGATTTCTCGGATCCGCGCAGGATCCCCCCTCCCTGGCGCGCGGAGCGCGCCAGGGGCGGAGCCGGAGGCGCCGCCAGGGGGCCCCAGCGCGGATCCGAGAAATCCGCGCGGACCTCCGGGTTTTTATGTCTGTGTCATCGTTTGCTCCCCCAGTTTTGGGGTCCAGCCTGGCATCGCTTGGACGTGTGCATTTTTTCTCGGCGAGAGCCATCGAGGACCATCCTCGACCAACGAGCAAAAAAAACACGCACGAAACCGAAAAATGCACAGGAAATGGACGTCTGAGCGACGGCGAGCCAGGGTTTCCGAGATCGCCTGTGCATCGCCCCCCCAGTGAGCAGCGCCCGAGGCCCCCTCCTGCTGGCGGGGCGCCGCAGGCACCGCCAGGGGCGCCGAGTAGCGTCAGGCGCTGCCTGCACGTTCGGCGCACGCTGCTGGCCGGCACGGCCTCCCGCCGCTCGGGTGTCGTGCCGAGGCTCGCCATGGGAGGCCTGGCCACGGCCATGGGAGGAACGAACAACGACATGAACATAAAAACTCGGAGGTCCGCGCGGATTTCTCGGATCGTCGCTGGAGACCCCTCCCTGGCGCGCGGAGCGCGCCAGGTGCCCGGGCGTGCCCGGGTGCCCGGGCGTGCCCGCGTGCCCGGGTGCCCGGGTGCCCGGGCGTGCCCGGGCGTGCCCGGGTGCCCGGGGGTGCCCGGGCGTGCCCGGGCGTGCCCGGGCGTGCCCGGGGGTGCCCGGGGGTGCCCTATAGCCCAATAGCCCAACAGCCCTATAGCCCTGCAACTCTATCGGAGGTGAGGGGGTGAGATCGAAGTGGAACGGAGAGCCCCCCTACCAGGAAATCGGTTTCGGTTTCGTGTTCGTGCGTGCCGTGCGTGCGGGCGAGGCGAAGCTGCGTGGGCGGGCGAGAAGAAAGTCTCCTCCAGCTGAAGCGCGGCCGGACCAAATGATTCCTTTCCGCGGGCTGGTGGCCCGCGGTGCCCCGCCGGTGTCCTGCCTCTGGCTGAGGCGCGGCCGGACATGGTGCTTCCTTTCAGGGGGCCGGAGGCCCGCGGTGTCTCGCCGGTGTCCCGCCGGTGTCCCGCCCGTGTCCCGCCAGTGTCCCGTCGGTGCCCCGATGATGATAATGATGATGATGATGATGATGATGATGATGATGATGGTGATGGTGATGGTGATGGTGATGGTGATGGTGATGGTGATGGTGATGGTGATGGTGATGGTGATGGTGATGATGATTATGATGATGTCGATGATGTTGATGATGATGATGGTGGTGATGGTGATGGTGTCCCGATGATGATGATGCTGATGATGATGATGGTGATGATGATGGTGATGATGATGATGATGTTGACGGTGTTGTTGACGGTGTGAATGATGATGATGACGATGGTGATGGTGGTGATGATGAGATGGTGCCCCGATGATGTTGATGTTGATGATGATGATGATGATGATGATGATGATGATGATGATGATGTTGCTGATGATGGTGACGATGGTGTCCCGATGATGATAATGATGATGACGATGATGGTGTTGATGATCCTGGTGATGTTGATGATGGTGAGATGATGATGAGACGTTGATGATGATGATGATGATGGTGTCCCGATGGTGATAATGATGCTGATGAGGTTGATGATGATGCTGTTGATAATGATGATGATGATGATGATGGTGTCCCGATGATGATGTTGATGAAGATGATGACGGTGATGGTGTCCCGATGATGATGAGGATGATGATGAGGTGATGATGATTTTGATGATGATGGCCCGATGATGATGATGTTGATGTTGATGATGATGGTGTCCCGATGATAACGATGATGATGATGGTGATGATGATGATGGTGACGATGATGATGGTGTCCCGATGGTGATGATGATGATGTTGCTGATGATGATAGTGTCCCGATGACGATGATGTTGATGATGTTGTACATGATGATGATGAGATGATGATGATGATGATGATGATGATGATGATGATGATGGTGGTGTTCCGATGATGGTGATGGTGTCCCGATGATGACGATGTTGATGATGATGATGGTGTCCCGATGATGGTGATGATGATGATGATGATGATGATGGTGATGTTGATGATGATGGTGATGATGATGGTGATGAGGTGATGATGATGGTGTCCCAATGATGATGATGATGATGATGATGATGATGATGATGATGATGATGTTGATGACGTTGATAACGATGATGTTGTTGATGATGATGATGATGACGTTGATTGTGAGATCGATTGTGATATCGATAGCGAGATCGATAATGAGACCGAATGTGAGATCGATTGTGAATTGAGATCGGAAGTGAGATCGATTGTGAGATCGATAGTCATATCGATTGTGAGATCGATCGAATGAAATAGATCGAGTGAGATCGATTGTGAGATCGACCGAGTGAGATCGATCGAGCGAGACCGATAGTGAGATCGATTGTGAGATCGATAGTAAGACCGATCGAGTGAGACGTTGTCTCCTCCCCCCCCGAACCTCCTTATCACCCGAAGGGTGGTCGTATAGGTAGCCCTATAGCCCTATAGCCCTATAGCTGAATAGCCCTATAGCCCCTAGCCCTATAGCCCTGATTGGGGTTTTTCTCCGGTATCATTATGCTTATGTCATTGTTTGTTTCCATATCCTCCCCGTCCGCCTCTTCCTCCGCGAGAGCACTTCGCGATCTGTGCACGCCCGCCGTTGGCGCGGGCGCCATGATAATACCATGATAGTGTTCGTTTTCTTCGCACCCGTCGGGTGATACCCGAAGGATGCAGCGCTGTGCTTTTCTTGTCCTCCTGATCGGCCGCGGTACCCTTGCCGCGCAGTCATCTTGCCTCTACCTCCACTTACATGCCTTGAGCAAGCCTCACCGACCATTCAAACCAGCACCGAGGGGCACTGATCCTTAACGGGGTCTGCATATTTCTATGAAGCTTATAACGGAAGACCAGGGCCAAGGGCCTCCACGCGGCAACTTTGACCACAGCTTGCGGGACCAGTGCCCCTGGGGCCAGGACCCAAATCAAGATCGCCCCAAGATAGTACCCAGACGGCCCAGGATGCCCGGAAGGCGGCCCGAGTTGCCGGGCAAGAGGCCCTTGTGAACCTCATCACACCACAGCAAGGTTCCACGACTGCCCCCTGGAGGCTCCCGAGGCGACCCAGGGGCAGCCCAGGAGAGTTCCCAATGATCCCCAAGGAGCGCGTAGAATTAGTGGATCTCCCGTGTGCTTGTTTCGCATGTGTTCGCATTGACGTTTTTGCTGTTTTGTCTTCAGAGCTTGCAAGACGGCCCAAGAGGCCCCCAAGACGGACCCAGAGGCCGCAAATGGACCCACGAAGTTCCCGAATTGGCGCCAATACTGCCTGAGACAAACCCAAAGCCGACCCAGAACACACCGGGACGACCCAAGATAGCGCCAGAAGGGCCCCAAGAGAACCCCAAGCGACCCCGTCGGGCAGCATCGAGAGAGCCCAGGTGTCTCGCAGACCTGAGCACAGCCCACCAAAGCTTCAAGACTGCCCCAGAGCCATACAGACCCAGGAATGGTCCAGAAGATCTCCCAAGAGACCTCTGGGAGACCCAAATCATGCATTTCCTAATTGATTTTGATTTGAGCATGTTCACATCATCACCGCTGCGGTCTTCAGCGTGTCCAGCACGGCCCAAGAGGCCCACAAGATTGGACACATCCAGCCACAAATGGCCCCGACAGCCCCAAATGGCCCCGAGGAGGAGGAGGAGGAGGAGGAGGTGAGGAGGAGAAGGAGGAGACGAGGAGGAGGAGGAGAGAAGGTCATTAGGATGTCTCTTGTCATCGGGCGCCACTTGGGTGCATCGGGGGGCCTCGTGGCACCCTGTTGGACTGCCTGGAGGGCCTCTGGGGGACCTCTGGGGGTCTCTCGTGGCCTCTTGGGGGCGTCTTGGGACTTCCCCGTCTTGGGCTCTCTTGGGGCCTTGATGGGGGCATCTTGAGCCGGCTCTTGGAGCCCTCTTGGGCCGTCTGGAGGCGCTCTTGGGGACCTCATGGGCTGTCGTGAGGCTGTCTGGGGTCCTCTTGGACCGTCTTGGTCCTTCAGAAGCCCAGAAAGCGAGAACGCGGAAGCACGAAGAACATTGGCTCTTCACCAATCACTTCTTGCACTCAGGTGCTCTTGCTTGTTCCCCAAGGGATGCTTGCACTTGGGGCTTTCTCTTGTTCCACAAACGCTGCTTGGACTTGGGGATTCTTCTGTGGCTTACTTGAGGCACTTGACTGGGCGTGCCAGGTTCTCGGCTGGCGCTCGGTTGACGTGCGCCCGCGGGTGCCGCGTGCTAGCTGGGCGTGCCCCTCCGTGGGCGCTCGTGGGCGCCTCGCGCGCCTCGTGCGCCTGGTCGATGCCGAGGGCTCGTCTCGCGTCCGTCCCGGGGCGCTCGTGGGCGCCTCGTCCGATGGGCGGGCGCGCCGAGGCCTCGCCGGGTGCCCGAACGTGGCGCGTCGTGGGCGCCTTGCGCGCTGGGCGCGTGCGTGCCAGATCTGCGCGTGGTGCCCGCCCGCAGGCGCCTCGTGGGCGCGTCGGGTGCCACC